GTTGGTGATGATATATGGGACCTTTGGGTCATTGTAGAGAAAAATGGAGAGAAAGCCCTAAATTTTGTTATGAATTAATTTATACAATTAATTTGGGAATGTTATGAAACTATGAAATTGAGTTGGGAGTAACGGAATTGGCTCATTATGTAGTAGAATGATGGAGTTGGATTCATTAATCACTCACCTTTGAAAATGTTGATAATTTATCTGTTGGTGCATTTATTACCTGTTTAGAAATAACTGCTTTGGGCTATCGGTGGAGGATAGTCTTAATTGTTGTAGACACTGCATGATGATTAGGTGAATTAAAACTAATCAATTGGTGTATTGGTTGTCATTGTATATGATGAGTATTTGAATACATGGGTACTGAATCCCGCATATGAGATTTCCGTAAAATGGCAATTCAAACATAATTATACATGGGTGCCGAATCCCGCAGATGAAATTTCCGTAAAATGGCAATTCAAATACAATTACACATAGGTACCAAATCCCGCGGATGAAATTTCCGTAAAATGGCAATCCGAAAACATCTATACATGGGTACCGCGGATGAAGTTTCCGTAAAATGGCCACAAGAAAATAATTACACATGGGTGCCGAATCCCGCGGATGCAATTTTCGTAAAATGGCAGTTTGAAGTATTGTTGGCATGAGATGTAGTCTCACTTAAGTTGTTTGGCCAGGTTCCGAGTCGTGTTTATAAGTTGAGTTTTGTTAAGTGAAGGATTATGGAACTAGATTGCACTGTATGTTGGTTTTTATGAGTTAAACGTTTATCAAGTGCTAATGTTTTAGTTATTGCTCATATTATGTTTAGCATATCTCTACTGGGCGTTGGCTTACCCTATATGGGACATCATTTTCAGGTACAGGTGTTATGCCACCTCCAAGGACGTAGCTTGGGAGGCTAGAGGCTGTCAGACTCCTTTTTGTTGTTTTGTTGTATTACATGTATATCAAGCCAAGGGCTTATTTTGTGTAGAGTTAGTACTCTCCTTTTTGTAATCAAGTGTTGACTTGGAAAGTTATAAGCCTATAGGGCATTTACTTTTATTGTCAATATGTAATACTTTTTGTAAGAATACTCTGATGATTGTAATATGAAATCTCTTCTATTTTATCGTGAATATATGTTATGATGGGTTTATTTTTTAGGGCGTTACAGATTGGATTGGTTCCAATTTTTCAGGAATCGTTGATAACGGATTAGTCCTGGTTTTACCCCAATCCAGTCCAATTCGGACTATGCTCACCCCTACTCCTTTTCCTTCATACCTTCCTTTCTCTCTTTCTTCCTTCTTTTCTCCATTCTTTTCCTTTTTCTTTCTTTTCCTTCACAGGTTTGATCAACTCCTCCCTATTTATAGGGACGAAAAACCAATATTTGGTCAACACGTGGCTAGCTGAATCAATCTGCAATTTGCTTCATAACTTCACCTGATTTGCTTATTATTAACGTAGATTTATATTTATCTTAATAAAATTTTAAAATAATTATACTTTGACCCAACTTCTTAATATAACTATATAAATAAATTAATCTCTCATTAAATTACATTCTATCGTATACTAATAGTAAATTAATTATTTATTTTACTACCACACCTATTATTATTATTATTTATTTATTTATTTACTCTTACTTTTATATTTATTTATTTACTATTATTTATTTAATAATATATTATCACATACCATCATAATACTAGTATAAAATTTAAGAGACAACTTAAATTTTCGGATTGTTACAATCTTCCTTCCTTTTAAAAATTTCATCATCGAAATTCGTCATATGTGTAAACTATCCGCTGCGCACTCTGATAAATATATATTAGATGATTAATTGGATAGAAAATATTACCTCAAGAAAAAAAAAAAACTTTACCAAAAACAACTCACCGTCTATTTGTCAAAAATTGTTTTGGGCCAAAATGAGAAACAATCGGTAACTTTAAAAACTTTTCATTAGTTTTATTTCCGAAAAAAAATAAAATGAGAACATAATCAAACAAGCGACTGGAAGTGAAATGAGAGAATCATATGCAGGAGTTGAAGGAATTTGAGATGAACTCCCATTTCTTTTATCCGTGAACTTTCTACTGATGGAAAATAGTTTCAAAATTAGTATTTTTAAAATTTGAACCCATTTTTTAAAAAAAATCAAAATGATTTTTTTTTAATACTGAATTGTAAATTATATGTATTTAATTATATTATAATTTTGGTGGGTGCTTGAGTCTGACATCCTTTGTTTTTTTTTTTCTTTTATTATAACAAATATAAATGATATCTAATATCCTTTACAATTATGCACAAAAAAATAAAAAATAAAATTAAGATACATATAAAATCATAATATAATTAAATCGACTAACAAAATATAATATTTAGGGACTAATTACCCGCTATCCTACTTCTTAAATATGCATGTGTCGTATGCTCCAATGATGAGTTATTTATTTATTTATTTATAAACATTGCTCTGATACCATTTGTCATGACTCGCTCCCCATACCCAAGGGTTAAGCATCATGATGGCCAGTAACTGAAGTTACCTCCGGCCAATTCTTAAACAAATTAATAAGCGCGCACGAAAGTAATATTTAAGTGAGGGTACTAAAATAATTATCGGAACTTCTATTTTTATTACAAAATTTATTGACAAAAAAAGTCAATATTTACATAGAAAAATATCATAAAAGTGCTGTGTGTGTCTATTCCACAGTCCCGCGTCTAAGGCTTTCTAAAAGCTATTTCTGAATTGCATTGGTTCCTGAAAATTGATAAACAGCTATAAGCACATGACAGAGTGAGAAATATTATACCAAGAGTATAAGGAATACAAAATAACCATGGATAGTTAGTTAGGCCAAAACATTTACATAACTCAATTTGGTGAATAAATCATTAAAGTGGCAGAAACCGAAATACAGAAATTACGTAAATAAATAACCATAACCACGATACCGAACAAAACAGAACAGGGGTCACCAGAATGATAGTCAGAATAGAGACACAGATTGAAGAGGTGGCTCATATGGATTACAGAGGTGACTCCCACAATGGTATATCACTTATCTTCGCACAACACTTTGCTCCGTACAAAACAGAGGTCCATGGATCCATGACAGACAGAGGGTCACAAAGTGACCAAACAAAAACCAATGGTTATTTAAGTCCCCCAAGGCGTGGGACTCCCATGGTGGTACTTACAAAACATAATTGTTTATAAGGTTATAGTCAAATATTCTTTAAAATATAAACAAATATATCCATGGGTTTTATTTTAACAAATAGAGTTCAGAAATTAATCCACGTAACTGAAATATTAATAAAACATAACTTATATTAATATAACTAATAAAATATAACTTGTATAAAATTAATATGGTAAGTCAAAATATACGTAAAATATATTATGATAACTTAAGGTATAATATAACTCACCTTAACTTTAATACCTCACTCTTTCTTTCCATTATCAAAGATTCTTCTGATTTCCATTACTTTCTTTTCCTTTTCTTCCTCTCATTTTCCCTCATTCCTTCCTTCTTTTCTCTCTTTCTTTCTTCCTTTCTCCCTTCTTTTCCTTTTTCTTTCTTTTCCTTCACAGGTTTGCTCAACTCCTCCCCACTTATAGGGACGAAAAACCAATATCTGGCCAACACGTGGCCAGCCGAATCAACCCGTAGATTTGCTCCATAACTTCACCCGATTTGCTTATTATTAACGTAGATTTATATTTATCATAATAAATTTTTAAGATAATTATATTTTGGCCCAACTTCCTAATATAACTATATAAATAAATAAATTTCTCATTATACCAACAGTACATTAATTATTTATTTTACTACCACACCTATTATTTATTTATTTATTTATTTATTTACTCTTACTTTTATATTTATTTATTTACTATTATTTATTTAATAATATATTATCACATACAATCATAATACTAGTATAAAATTTAAGGGACAATTTAAATTTTCGAGTTGTTACATTCTTGGATAACTTTCTCCTTGTACTATATCTCTCTATATTCATTTATACCTCTTTTGTAGGTTCTAATTCAAATCCGCATTAATGATCCAAATCAGCTACTTTTGTAGGCCTCACAGTAAAAATTATTCATACAAAAAGTTAATTTTATCAGACTACTATAAATATGAAAAGAAATTGCATTCTAATTTCACTACAAGAAATAACACTTTTGCTGACCAAAAAATTGGTCGCTAAAAGCTCATTTTTAGTCGGCAAAAGTTATCTGCGACCAAATTTTTTGATCGCTAGTTTTGTCGCCAATTGAGGGTCGGCAAAAGTAATTCGCGACCAAAATTTTGGTTGGTCGGGAAAAGTTGGATTTGCCGACTAAATTTTTGGTCACTAAATATGTCATTATTGCGACTAATCCATTTTGTCGCTAAAACACTTTGGTCGCAAAAAGTGATATTTTTTCGACCAAATATCTTAGTCGCCAATTGTCACACTCCACGACCAAAAAGTTTGGTTGCCAATTATCACATTGAACGACCAAAAAGTTTGGTCGCCAATTGTGACATTCCACGACCAAAAAATTTTGGTCGCCAATTGCGACATTCTACGATCAAAAACTTTGGTCACCAATTGTCACATTCCATGACCAAAATAATTAGTCACCAATTGTCACATTCCATGCCCAAACATGTTTGTCGTCAAAAGAAATGTTTGCGCAACTAAAACTTTAGTCAACAATAGACCTATTCGCGACCAAATCCTTTGGTTGCCAAAATTAATACTTTTAACAACTAATTATTTAGTCGCCAAATGTGCTTGGTGATACACCGACTATTTTATTTAGTCAGCAAAAGTATAACTTATCTTTCCCGACTAATCAATTAGTCACCAAAACTAAAAAATAAAACTAAAATTTGGTTGCCAACATCCAACAAAATAAACCTATAATTTATAATAATCCATCCAATTTATTCAATATAATCTGTAATTTTCAAAAATCATTCAAACCAACAAATAAATTGAATCATGAACATTCAACAAAGTACATATATCAACTATTTCTAATCCAATTTAGAGAAGGATTATTTTTGCTAGATGCATCAGAGACAATGTTTAGCATGTTATGTTTTAGATACATAAATTGACAACACACGATTTAAGTTTTCCTATCTTTGATTGTGCTCTTTAGTACTCCAGAGGACATTGATGAAGCTGGATTGATGGCTTTCATAATCTTTAAGACATTCCAAGCAGTGCCAGCACAGTGTCCGGCGGTCACAAGCACATCTTCTGTTGCCTCCCCTGCATTTTCTCCAAACTTGTTTGCTCAACAATGGTGAAAGCCAGGCAATGAAAATTCAAATGGAGTTAGAGAGAAAAATAGGAGAAAAAAATGAAAAAAGTACTGGAAAAATTCATATAGAACAAGTTGTACTGGGAAAAAAGAGAGAAACAATTGAGCTGATAAACTAGACAAATTGATTTTATGAAAATTTGATTCAATGGGACAAATTTTGTCGAAAAATTGTTACATTTTAAGTTGGTGCTCTGGAACTACTACACAATTACCCAATTTTGTAGTCATTTTAAATTCTCATTCTAACAACTTAGAAAGGTAATTGTGTTTTATTCCCAATTTTTGTAAAGTAACCAGAAATGTGAATGTACACCAATATCTGCTGTTATTTATATAAAACCATGTCTTAGTCACTATTAAGTCTTTTACCTTTCATAAACCATTCTGGTTGTGGCAGCAGAGGTGGCAGAGAGGGCTTGTTTTTCAGCAACTTCAGTTGCATCTTACAGTTTGTCTGTAGTTTCAAGAGAAATCAATGTGATTACTTCATATTCTTTTCTTTGAATCACAAAACTTTAAAGTAGTCTTTACTCACTGGAATAAATCTAAGAATACATAAACTAGTCAAAAAATCGGATACAAAATGTATATATGGATTGCAGACAAGATTTTTTTTTTTAAGAGTACGTCCTACTAACAAATTTTGTAAAATCATGAATATTGTGTCTTTTGATATGCTATTGATTTCTGTATTGATAATAGAATTATTACTTACTAATAGCATCGAGTGAGGCCAAGAGGACTTGACCTGGAACCATGGCTAAGAAAGCCTTCCCCATCTGTGACTGAACCACCGGTGCCATCACAGTTCCGGTGGCAATGCCAACACTATCAAGCATTGCCTTGCTCATCTGTTCTGTCATACTAGACAGGTTTCTCACACTACATAATAAAAATGTAAAATAAAAATCCATTAAAATCTTTTGAATTATTGTAATTTTTTTTTAAAATTTCTTGGTCAAAAGATATTCTAACAGAAAGATTAATGTTTCAAAAATATAGTTTAAGGGTTTGATTGATTTTGTTCTTCTTTGTGGCACCAACACCATTGTTGCTCTTACTTGATCTGTTTTTCTCTTCCACAGCTTCAGTCAGAATCATTTCCCCTCCCTTTTGCACCTGTTTTTTTGCTCCTCACTTTTAATTTGACAAACCATTGAATTATGTAAACTATAACACACTGTTTAGCATAACAAAAATCCAACATTTAGTAAGTGGCCACATCACTAGGAGGTGAAGTGTTTGAGTTCACTCCCCATGCTAGAGTCTTCTATATAACTAATTATTTATTACTTCCGAAGTAATGACTCGATATACTGATGTAGTGCTCTTAATGTTAATAAGAGTACTAGTAATGGGATGAGTGAAGCTAGCCTAACTCAGCTTGTTTAGTTAGGAGAGAGATAAGGTCAATATCATTCATCTTCTTTTATGTGACTTCATTGGTCGAAAGTATTACATGCACATGCGACGATGATACTTTAAGAATATTAAATAATTTTCCGTTCGATATATCATAAAAAAAAAAAATGATTACTAGGCTTCATCACATTGGTCATGGGTACTGAAATAATATTTTTTAATCTTTTCAATAACAAAGAACTTTCTATGATATTAAGCTCCCAAAATTGTTGTTAATTTAAGTCACCAAGTGAAGTGTCCTATTATTCCACTCCGCACACGCGTGCACATATATATATATATATATATATATTAGTGGGTGTGTGCTCACTTGATAGATGTACTTTTAAATTTATAAAATATAAATTTTGATTTTGCATTAAAAACATGTAGTGTGTCTATTGCTTGAAAGTGTTATTTACATTGGTATTGCTCAAGTAATAAAAGTATTGTTTACCAAACTAATGGTTTTAGGTTCAAGTCCCTTTCACCACCTCAATATTTAATTTTTCAGTTACTTCTTCACCTTATATAATCTATATATATATATGGTTGATGTGTTTTGATAACTAGATTGCAATCTGCATTAAAAAATTAAGTGCACTCTACAATTGCTCTCATAGAGAAATTAGCATAAGGTTTAATAAGCACAATCTCCAAACACAACATATTTGTTTTTGTGGATCAATAAGCACACAATCACATGAAATCAATTCTTGGAAGCCAAATCATCTATATAACTTGTAAGGGTATAAATAAAGTATAGTATAGTACCTCTGTTCCAGCTATATTCATTCCTGACCAGTGCCTTCCCACTAGGCCTAAACGGTTTATTTTTAGAGAATGCCCCAACCCCCAATGAAGAACAACCAGGCCCTACCACCAAAATAAAAATCAAAAGACCTCTTTGTACACATTTATTTTGATAAGAATTCAAGCACAAGACATTAACCCTAGCAGTCTGCTATTATTTATTTAATTGCTGCTCTTCACTATAACTATTTTTGTATTTACCTGTAATTTCTGGCCCTACAACATCTCTTCTTCAAGCTCATCAAAAGACCTGTAGATGAAGACCAACGAGGCCAAACATGATTAGTGATTAATCTCTACTAAAGTTTTTCAACACTAAATGGTTCTAACAGATGCATACCTTTTCTCTCCATTCCTAGCAAAAGCCTCCGCACATTTCTTGTTTCTTCCCCCTACTGCCATGTCGAAACAACATAATAAGGTTGCATGTTTCTATCATGAGCAACCGATGTTATGAAGGCAAAATTTGTAGAATTAGGAAAGCAAAGAAATCTATCTGGCTACTTACAGCAAGTTGTTATAAGGTCAGCTACACCACAGCTTTCGTAAAAGGTGCTATCCTGGACAGATGAGAACAGCAACTTGGAAAAGGCCTTCATTTCTCTTTCTCTATAATGTGCGTAATAAGAGAAGAAAAATACAAGAGGAATACGAATAAGAATATATTTGAACTCTTTACTACTTCCACATTATATTTATAAGAATAAGAATAAGAATCACTATGGGATAATGTGCGTAATAAGTGCAGAAAAATATATTTATAAACATAAGAATCAAAGTGAAGAATTAGTGAAGAATAAGAATCAATTTGAACTCTTTACTACTTCCACATTATATGGCATATTGGACAAGTTTGTTTATTCCTATCGGGAAGAGTCAAGACAAAAGATGGTCACTTAGAATACCCTTAGCCTTCTGGCATAACACCCTAACCTACAACAGAGAGAGAAGATGTCAACGGAGAACCCTTTTCCATTACACTAAAACAGAAAGGTATCGATTAAAAGGTGAATACGATAGCATAATAATAACAATAGTTTCATAACATGGATAAGGCAAAGTACAATATATAGATGTCCTGAGTAAGAGTCAAACTAGGACCTCGGCTTAAATGTGAGCTACATGTATAAAGGTTCCTTTTATAATAAATGGTTATTCATTCATCATAACAGAAGAATACTCGAGCTGTCATGGTTCTTCAGTAAATTATTTCCAGAACCAGAAGTGCCTCTATTAATACTTGATTCAATGCTCACTTTCGAATAACGGAAACTCCACACAATTTCGTGTAGAAGTCAACCCTAGTATTGACCTGCATTAGTATACCAACAAATTAACAAAATTTATGTTTTGGGATAGGCAACTTAAGAATACAACATAAAACAGTTACATGTTCTACAAGGGAAAAAAATGTGAACAATTCCAATTTGCTGTAGATAGAAATATGTTGTAGTCCACTATCTTTTTTTCTGTTTTCTTTTTCATTATGCACTCCCTCTTTATGACATAGAAAGTAAAGACAAACAATAGAACAATATGATGCTAAATGTTAATATCTAAATGTAGTTTAAAGTTAAAACTAATGTGTCATGAATGGTTAATTTTAGGTGTCACAGAAAACTACAAAATTATTCAACAAGAAAGAAAGCAAATGTGTAAGAAGACTAAACGTGAGATGGCCACATTATTTCATTCTCATGTACACTTTTTAAAAGCAAAGGAAATATATGCTTTCAAAAAAGATGATATAAAAAAAGGAATAAATCACACCCCAATGAAACAACATTCACAGTCATCAGTCATTACTCTGCATAAATTAATCCCAACAATTTATAGCTAGTTTAAAAATCTAGTTTAGCCATATGTAGAGGAATATCTTTTCATAAAATTGACATCATGAGGAGACACCAAATTATATGCTAGCAAGAGAAAACACACAATCATATATGTAAAAAACACAAACAAATAAAAATTGAAGGCATGTAAAGTTCTCAGTTTAAATTCAAAGAATTGAAGGAAACTTGAGATAAAAAGGAAGTAGTCTACTTATATTCCAAATTTCATCAGAGAGAGCGAGAGAGAGAGAGAGAGAGAGAGAGAGAGAGAGAGACTTGAATTGAGTGCATGCCTTGCTACTAATTTTTCTCCTAAAACACATCTGTTGAAGTGACTACTTGCTTCTCAGTAAAAGGCAAATGGCCAAGTCTATGCTTCATAACCTGAAAGTCAAAAACAATAAAAGCAATGATGATTGGTAAGATTTAACATTTTTATTCTATTAACCTTTTGAATTAACCTTTCAACATTTTTATTCTATTAACCTTTTGATGTGTGCCCAATCCTCGTATCAAAACTAAACTTATAAAGAGCAATAATTGCAATTTTATAGAATATACTAATAAAAGAATCTACTATAACAAACCTAAGACAACCTATATCTAAGAGAATTGGAGAACTAATAACCATTTCAAGAGAAGTACATGACCCACATAATCATACCCCAGGAGGTGTATGGACTTTTTTGCTCAGGTCTGCTATTGAATATGATATAGTATTTACTGGAGGTGTATGGACTTTCTTGGGAACAATGGGAACAATGGGTTTCCTTGAGAAATCATCTTTCATCAAATGATTTGTGACGATCAATAGGTGGAGGTCTTAGGTTTATTGTGGCTGAAGTCTCAAATGTTTTTGTGATGATTGTAGATGGAGTTTGAATCGCTGCAAAAATGATGCCATAGAGTTATAATTAAATATGGTGCTCAAGTGGTTTCAAACAAATGAAAATACAAGTAACATTGTGTTTTAATAAGACCTACAGAAATTTAGCCCCTTTTATAGTTTCAGCTCAGCTTATGTGCATGGTATAAAGAAAATTATTAGGCTCAAGCCACTTAGCAGTGGGCATTCATAAGAAAAAAAAACTAATATCTTAGTTAGAGTTTCATCACTAAACATTTCTTTTAAGATAACTGGGTGTACCTGAGTTCAAAGAAAGGTTTTGATCAATCTAAATTGAAATACATCAAGGGAAGTAGACAATGGTGGCCTGCATCTAATACGTACTACTGAATCATGGATTTGTGATCCTTGACTCTACAGATTACAGCTAGAATTTGGATACAATATTTGGAGGAAAAAAAATCCCCTTTCTATTAAGTATCATGACTAAGGAAATGTATTTTCAAAAGCCACAACTTAGTAGAAAAACAAACAATGTAAATAATCCCCATTTGTGTTTCAGGGGTCAGCCACATGAACCCTGTTTAACAATGATATCAAAGAAGTTGCAAACACCGAGAACCCACAATAGGACAATAATGATCTTTAACATGGATATGAAGAGACATCACGAAAAGCTTTCGTCTGTTCACCTATCATAGACAGAAGGAAAGGACCCCAAAAATAGTAGTGCAAGGGGAAGCTCAACACTAAATAAGTCATACCCAAACCACCCTTAGTTTGGAGTTCTAAAAACTACAGCCAAAGTCACAAACATCATAGTGTAGTTCATAACTATTAAGTTGAAGTCAGAAATGTCATAGTGTGTGTTCTTCATGGATGTAGCTTGCACAAAAATCCTAATTTTTCTACTAAAAGCAAGTGAAAATATGTCTTCAAATAAAAATTCAATTTTTTTTCTTTGATAAATAATAATTGATTAAAGAAACAACATCAGAGGGGTTGCCACCCTTATACAAATAAGAACTCAAATGAACAAGTCAAAGCACACAATTATAGGTTCAACACGATCAATCATGTCTTTCTTCACCTAAATAACTCCTATCAAAACAGCTAACTACTTCCTATGTCTTTTTAGTTCAACCAAATTATATGCGAGTACACGAGGTTTGTGAGCAAAAATGTTACATTTAAGTTAAGTTGAGGGCTTTACCAAGAACAGACCTCAATGGGGGAAATAAGTAATTTAACATCCTGTAGCCCCTTAGTGTACATAAAAATAATCATGGTACCCTATTAGAATGCTATATTAAAATAATCAATATTGATTTGTTCCCAAAAAAAATAAACAAAACACAAAATAAAGCTTCTCATCTGTGGCATGGAAAGTAATGACTACCAAAGTGTTTAAGAATTGAAAAAAGACAGAACATAATCATTTAGTCTTGTACATCATAATGAAAGACAATGCTGTTGATAACGCCTCAACTATGTCAAGGTATGCATATTTGGGAGAACTCCACAAGGAAAAAAAGGTGATGGAGGGTAAACTTACAATGTGGAGACGGATAAAAGCTCACCAAACATGTCATTCACTTGGCCCTGAAGTTGATTGTGACCAACATTTCTACAATCAAAGCGCAATGTAACAACCAGTGGTTAAGTGTGAAGTTTTAAATAGTTTTGACATGAACAATAAAAATCAAATTTCGGATGCTTGACTAACAGGTATTTTAGGGAAGTCATCTGAGATATGGAATAAGGGATGCCACCAGTGAAGCTATTTCCAGCAAGGTTTCTACATTATAAGAGGATTGCTGATGAAACCACCATAAGAAAATTAAAGGGCGCAATTTTTTTTTTTTGATAAATGAAATTAAGGGACTGAAATAGAAGAGAAGGAAAAATCAGTAGGCATTAAGCATACAGTTGCGTGCAGTTTGAAGGTGTGCAAAATTTATACATAAATTAAATTAAAGAAAAAGAACTTGGAAATGAACAAATTGAATCAAAATCAAAATCACATAGGAGATAGACGACTTTGACCAACCCTAGCCTTAAAAAAATCACTTGTTAGGGTTCGAAAATTAGAAGGAGAGGGAAAGGGGCAGAGTGAGAGCAACAAACAAGTGAGAGAGAGAGAACTTAACAGAGTCGTAGTCGTCGGTGGTAGTCGCAGTCGCGGTGGCGGGCTTTGTCTTTGTGTTTAGAGTCTTCGTCCTCGGCGGGCTTGAAGGATGGGGGCTTGAATGCAGGGGGCTTCGGAGGGAGGTTTCCTAATTTTCTCTGAATATCGTCCCATTGAGTCGAAGCTCCTTCCACGTCCTTGTACACGAAGTGATAGTTCCCCATCTCCGATCAACACTCTCTCTCTCTCTCTCTCTCTCTCTCCCTCCCTCCCTCCCTCTCCCTCCCTTCCTCCCTCCCTCCCTATAGTATCGTATTTTGGGGATTTTTTGTTAGGGATTGGGGATTTGAGATCGTGAGAAACAAAGGGGGGAAAGAAAGGAGGGAAATAGAAAGAGCGGGAAAATGAAAAAAAGAAGAAAAGAAGAGAGTTAGGATAGGCGGTAGTTTTATTTATTTTTTGTTAATATATATATATATTTTTTTTTTTTGTAGTTAATGAATTTTTATTTTATTTTTTATTTTTTTTTGTTACTAAGGTTAAAAATTTATTTGTTTCGTTTTTAGTTTAATGAAATTTTTTTTATTTGGTAAAAATAGGGGTAATATTTTTATGAAAAATATTTTCAATCAAAATAAAGTTAATGAAATTTAGAGAGATAGAGACATGTAGAGAGATAGAGACAGATAGATTAACTTTATTTTAATGATTTTTTTTATTTGGTAGAAGTAGGGGTAATATTTTAATGAAAAATATTTTTCGTTAAAATAAAGTTAATTTTTTATGGTCAACGGAAAATATTTTTTTGTGGCCCATTTTTTTTTTGTTACTAAAAATCAAGAGCTAATTTTTTGTGGTAGAGGAGAGGGAGCGGCAGTAGTGGTGAAGGTGGTGGATAAGAGGTGATGGTGGTGGTGATGGCGAAGGAGATTAGTGGTGAAGTTGTGGTAGTGGTAGAGGAGATGGAGTGGCGGTGGGGGAGGAGGAGAGGTAATAGTAGTAGTAGTAGTAGTGGTAGCAGTGTGGTAGTGGCAATGGAGTGGTAGTGATGGTGGTAGTAATGGTAGTCGTAGAGGTGGAGTGGCAACATTGGTAATAATGGTGGTAGTGGAATGACATTTACAGTGGTGGTGAATGTGGTAGAGGAGATGGGTCATGAGAGAGAGATGTGTGAGAGACAGATAGAGAGAGAGACAGAGACAGAGACAGAGTAATGAGCGAGAGAGACACAAAGTGGTCGCTAAAAGTGCATTTTCTTTTAGTGGAGAGCTCAATAACTAGAGAAGGTGGGAGGGAGAGAGTGAGCAAGGTGAACACAATGGGAGAGTGAGACAGACAGACATAGAGAAAGACATAGAAAAAAAGAGAGATAAAGAGTGAAGAAAGTTGAGCGAGAGAGACAAAGAGAGATAGGGAGAAGAAAGATGAGCGAAAGAGATAGAGAAAGAAGAGAGATGAGAGAGATAGAGAGAAGAGAGATGAACGAGTGGTGGTGAAGTTGTGGTAGTGGTAGAGGAGATGGAGTGGCAGTGGTGAAGGAGAGATAATGGTAGTAGTAGTGGTGGTGGTGGTAGTGAAGTGGTGGCGATGGTGGTAATAATGGTAGTTGTAGAGGTGGAGTGGCAACAGTGGTAGCAGTGGTGGTAGTGGAATGACATTCGCAGTAATAGTGAAAGTGGTAGAGGAGATGGGTGGTGAGAGGGAGAGATGAGTGAAAGACAGATAAAAAAAAGAGATAGAGAGACAGAGACAAAGTGATGAGCGAGAGAGACAAAGTGGTCGCTAAAAGTGCATTTTCTTGTAGTGGATTGATAAATCGAAAGGGAGCTCGGTAAATAGAGAAGAGAGGAGGGAGAGAAAGATAGAGAGAGAGACAAAAAAAGAGAGAAACAAAAGATGAGTGAGAGATAGACAAAGAGAAAGAGAGAGAAAGAGAGCGAAAAGAGATAAACGAAATAGAGACAAAGAGAGATGAGCGAGAGAGATAAAGAAAAGAGAGATGAGCGAGAGAGAGAGAGAGAAGAGAGAGATAGAGAGAAGAGAGATGGGCGAGAGACACAGAGAGAGAGAGAGAGAAACAGACAGACAAACAGACAGAGAAGGGTGATGAGTGAGAGAGAGAAAGAGAAGAGAGATAGAGACACAGAGAGAAAGAAAGAGACAGACAGACAGAGAGTGATGAGTGAGAGAGAGAAAGAGAAAAGAGACAGAGACAGAGAGACAAGAAGATGAAAAAATGGGTGAAAAGAGAAATGTTATATCAAAAGAGTAAGACGATGTTGTTTTTTTAATTTTTTTTTTGTGACAGAAAAATGACGTTGCATTTATTTAAACCATTTTGTGACTATATATATATGAAGACGTCTCAAAACCACAATATATATATATATATTTTGCAACGGTACCTATTACAGTCGCAAAAAACTCTTCTTTTTTTTTTTTTTTTTTTTTTTTTTTTTTTTGCGAATGTAGCTGGTGCCGTCACAAAAAAACTCTATTTTTTTGCGACAACAATTTCTGCCGTCTCAAATACTCTATATTTTTTTTTGCGACAAGAAGTTTGGTCGCCAATAAGTTTTTTGGCAACCAAAATTTTGGTCGCCAAAAGATAAAAAATAATTTTTTATTTTCCATTTGGCGACTGCATTGTTTTAGTAGCCAAAACTCAATATACGGCGACTAAAATATTTTTTGTCCCTAAAAATAAGTTTTTGGCGACCAAACTTTTGGTCGTCAAAAGATAAAAAAATAATTTTTTATTTTCCATTCGACGATTAAATAGTTTTAGTAGCCGAAACTCAATATACGGCGACTAAAATATTTTTAGTTGCTAAAAATAAGTTTTTTGGCGACCAAAATTTTGGTCGCCAAAAGATAAAAAATAATTTTTTATTTTCCATTCGGCGACTACATTGTTTTAGTAACCAAAACTCAATATACGGTGACTAAAATATTTTTTGTTGCTAAAAATAAATTTTTGGCGACCAAACTTTTGGTTGCCAAAAGATAAAAAATAATTTTTTATTTTCCATTCGGCGACTAAATAGTTTTAGTAGCCGAAACTCAATATACGGCGACTAAAATATTTTTATTCGCTGAAAATAAGTTTTTGGCGACCAAAATTTTGGCCGCCAAAGATAAAAAATAATGTTTCATTTTCCATTCGGCGACTAAATAGTTTTAGTAGCCAAAACTCAATATACGGCGATTAAAATATTTTTAGCCGCTAAAAATAAGTTTTTTGGCGACCAAAATTTTGGTCGCCAATTCCACAATCAACTTATTTTTGATCTTCCGCGACCAAATTTGTAGTTGGTCGCCAAAACCATATCACTTTCTGTGACCAACTCATTTTTTGGTCGCCAAAATATGACCTTTTGCGACCAACTCATATTTGGTCACCAAAAATAATGATCATTCGCGACTAATTAATATTTGGTCGCCAAAAGGTAACTTTTAGCTACCAACTTTTATATTGGTCGCGGAAAGTGGTCGCAGAAAGTGCAGATTCTTGTAGTGTTTATAAAACGAATGGTTTAAGTTTTCAATCTTATTTGCCTTTCATTTTATAGAATAAAATGTGATTTGTTCTTGTGTTTATAGATGTATGATAAAATTGATTTTTGCATAGATATCCTTTATTTATTTTTTACATGAATTATCTATTTTATAAAATGAATTGTTTAAATTTCAGTACTATTTGCCATTCATTTTATAGATCAACATATCATTTATGTATATCGACCATTGTAATTTTTGTAATCTTGGGATTTGATTACCATAATCTTTAATGAGTGTATCGCGTACCACATCAATACCATAATCGGTAATCTTGGAATTTAATTAAGCGTTTAGCTTCCTCTAGTTTGTGATTGGATTGAAGAGTGTTGTTGGACCCATGGGGGCCTATCATGGATTTCATTTTGATAATCTGAATCGTTCAATGTGTAGAATTCGTCGAGTATTATATATTTGTAAAAGTCACGTTAATCGGATAACGATAACTACGTAATCAAATCAGTTTTGTATAAAAAAATTGAATAGTGAAAAATAAACGGTTGATATAAATTTGATTCGATGAAATAGCTATCGATATCCGATCAACGTAATTTTTACAGACATATAGTATTCGACGAGTTCTATATATTGAACTATTCGGATTATCGAAACGGGATCCATGGTGATCCCCCACCGGCTTAACATCACTCTCCAGTGATCGGACCGGAGGGAAGCCAATCCCTTTAATTAATATAATCTTTACAAAAAAGTTAGGAACTCAGACTTGAAAACACAAAGGGGTTGTTTGGGATATTCTAAATAAGTGTACTTTTTGACTTTTTATGAAATATGAGTTGGGTATGGGTTGGGTTTGAAGTGATGTGGTAGAGAGATGATGTAACATAAATAAAATGATGTGACTTAAATAAGGTAGTAACTTTTTGACTTATTTAGTATATGCTAAATAAGGTCAAAATTTGTTTAAAATTGATCACAGACTGGAGGGATCAATCCGTTTAATTAATATAATCTTTACAAAAAAGTTAGGAACTCAGATTTAGGAACACAAAATTTGTTTAAAATTAATTTGTGTGATGGAGATTAAATAAATAAAGTATGGGATTTATGAGTAAAATGAATTTGAACCATTGATTGTTATTTCTAGGTAAATTATAGATTTGAGAACATGTTATTTTAGTATTTTTTTTGACTTTTTGGTTAAAATATGAGTAAAAAAAATTAATATGTTTGTAATAATTTTTAAATTTTTTAAAGAAAAGACGTACAAAAAGTGGAGAGAAAATAAAATCTTTGCCTTTTTTTTTTATATAGTTTGTTAGTTTTTTATTGACTTATTGACTTTTAAATTAAAATGTTAACTCTTGAAATGACTTAATATGATTCCTACTAAAATATATAATCAAAAATTATTTTCCCATTCTAATCTGTTACAAACTGTGACGCCCCAAAATTTAAGGACATCATAATAAGATTTAGAAACTTAAAATCAATATTGCCACCAATATTACTAACATCCATTAATTAACAACCCTGAATTTAAAATTCTTACATCACAACTTAGTCTTAGTACATAACCGAAATGACACAAATATAAAAAGAAACTTAGAGAAAAACTAGAATTTTTAGGAAATGGTTCATGGAACTTGGGCACTCTTCAAGCTAACCAAGACTGAGTGTCGCCTTGCAAGGCCTCAGTGTT